CATCCTGCACTCCACACCCCCTTTCTATTTCTCTTATTTCTGTGGCTATTCCAAAGGCTAGAAAGTCATACCTGAAGATTTGGAGCTAAGAACCACAAATAAGAGAAAGCATGTGGTGTTTCTCTTTCTGAGTCTTGGTTACCTCACTCAATATAATATTTTCTATTACCATCTATTACCTACAAATCTCATTAATTCATTTTTTCTTTATAGTTGAATAGTATTCCACTGTTTATATACCACATTTTCATTATTTATTCTTTGGTGGAAGGACATTCAGGTTGTTTCCATTTCCTTGATATTGTGAATAGAGCAGCAATGGACATGGCTGAGAAAGTATCTGTGGGGTTGGATGTTAAGTCCTTTGGACATATGCTATGAAGTAGTACAGCTTGGTTCTATGGTAAATTTACCTTTAGCTTTTCAGGATTCTCCACAATGATTCCAAAGGTGCTGGATCAATTTGCAATATTATCAAGAGTGAATGAGTGTTCCTTTTCCCTACATTCTCTCTAGCATTTACTGTGGGTTGTTTTGTTGACGTTGGCCATTCTGATTGGAGTAAGATGAAATCTTGAAGTTTTTTTTATATTCACATTTCCTTAAGCGTTGATTAGTTTTATGCTAACTTGACACAACCTTCAGTGGTTTGAGAAGAGGAAACCTCAACTGAAAAAAGTTCCTCCATAAGACTGGTGTGTAGGCAAGCCTGTGGGGCATTTTACTGATTAATGATTGATGTGTGTGGGGGTCCAGACCATTGTGGTGGTGCTACTCCAGGGTAGGTAGTCCTGAGGTGTGTTCCTGCCTCCAGGTTCTTGTGTTGAGTTCCTACCCTGGTTTATCTTGATAGTGAAACACAAGGTGTAAGATAAAATAAACCCTTTCATCTTCAAGTTACTTTTGGTCATGGTGTTTTGTCAAAACAATAGAAACCCTAAGATAGAATACAAACATTTTTTTGAGATACTACATAGCCACTTTTATTTCTTCTTTTGGGAACTCCATGTTCCAATCCATAGGCTCCACCCTCTTTAAAACTTGGGTTCTTTGTTTTCTTGACTGTTTTTTGAATTCTTTATATATTCTGGATATTAATCACCTGTTAGATATATAGCTGGTAAAAACTTCGCATTTCCTTTCCACTTGATTGGTTGTTTCTTTAGCTGTGTAGAAGCTTTTTAGTTTTATGAGGTCCCATGTGTCAATTGTTGGCCTTAGCTCCTGGGAAAATGGAGTCCTATTCAGAAATTCCTTTTCTACACCAATTTCTTGTAGAGTACTGCCTATGTTTTGTTCTAGAGGTTTCAGGTTGCACAATGAGGTTTTTGATCCATTTAGAGTTTGTTTTTGCTTTCTTTTGGCAAGATGATAGGGGAATAGCAAGGTACAATAAATTCAAGGGGGAATGGGGTAAAATGGAGGGGAGGTTTAATTGTATAATGAAGAAGGAGGTCAACACAGAAGGAAAGGGTAAAATAACAACTAGGCTGTCTGAAACATCTATTGATTATCTAATACCAAATGGTCAGGAGGGAACAAAGGGAAAGGAGAAATAATATAAACAAAGAAAAAAATTAAAGGCCATAAAGAATCATACTGCTATTTATTCACCTAAAATTACATATAGCACATATATGTCTATGGGTATAAAGAATATATTCCTCCCAAGAGACACTGACTATCAAAAACCTCAATAATCTTTGGAGCTGTTCATCAGGGAGTCCAAGAGACTCTCAATACAATATAGGCTATTACTGTTGCCCTTATTTGCTTCCCAGAGATAGAGGATAGGTTCCTATCGCTGAAGACACCATGTACTTCAGATACAAGAAGGTGCTATGCAAGCTTTCAAGGGAGGGAAAATACTGAGCTGTCACATCTCTGAATCATAAGGATGACAACAATGGCACAATAACCTTAAGGATGCAATAGTGGCATTTACATATTAGTTATAACCAATTGCTTTCTAGGTTTCCAGCACCAAACATGATTTCCCTCTTGTTGATCAGGCCTTAAGTACAATCAGAAAGCAATTGGGCCCCTATGGTAACATGGACAATGTATATCAAAATGCACCCCAGTTGTGGGGCAGAGACCAGTGACCCAAATATGGCCATCAGCAGCAACTTGGTCTCAGATGTCACTATGACTGCAGGTGGCAGCACAGGCCTCTCAGATTGGCATGGGTCCAGAAGCAGCAGGGTCCCTGGACTCCAACATGGCTCCAGGTGGTGGTCTAGACCCTGGGAAGTCACAAAGCCTTCAATGTTAAAAAAAGTCCCAGATCTCAACATAGAACCTGGCTACAGAAGGGCCACATACAAACCTGTCCCTTGGCAGTAGCTGTGGTGGGGATGGCACCATGGTCATGGGTGCAGGACACTCAGCCATGCATGGACCTGGCAGCAGC